TGTTACTCTACTCGTCTTAATTACTCCTCAGTTATTTAATATTTAACAATATTATATATTTGACTAATGGAGATAATGAAAATAAATGTTCTGTTATGTTTTAAGAAACACACATAGGCTACTAAAAACTTTACAACTTCATAATCCTGTAGGAAGTGTTTTTTTTTTATTATTCTAATGCTATTAAACGTAGCTAGCCTTTGCGGCTTAACTGGACGAAAATGAGAGTAATTGCAGAAGGCAGAAATCCGCGGAAGGACTTATGGAGGGGCTGAAGGTAACCGTAAGGAGTTCTTTCTTACGTAACTTTAGTCTTAGGACACTGCTAGGGGTTCTAACTTCGACTCAGATAGATTGTCGTTGTACATATTCCTAAATAATATTTGGTTAGAGTCCTAAATAAATGACAGCAAAGTCACATCATCTACACAGTCCGTGGTTTGCTTACTCAGTACCAGCGTCTGTAATTACTGTAATTTCCATATCAAAACCATAAATACCTCAATTAATCCTCCCGGGTGACACAGTATATTTAGCGCAGTCTAATATACTAATTGTATCTATATACGACAATTATCACTATCAAACTTGTTTAATAATCTCAGTACCTTGTAGATAAAAAAAATTGTCTAGTCTACGGTCTTAGACTTTGAATGAGTTTATTGAAGATTACATCGTATCTAAATGATTTATATATTTAGAGATACAATAAATACGACCGTCTGCAGTGTTGTATATAAAACTGGATAATTATCATAGTATTAACTAGCGGCACGCCCCGGCATCATAGGGGTATATAAAAAAAATAGTATATTTTAATACATATACAGCCTTCAATATTGATGTTCTCTGTAAAACTGTAGTACATCACTTTAGTCTATTGTTAGAAATCTGCGCGATGATATAAGAATTTTTTTGAATTTATTGCGTCAGGTCACTTAATATTATTTATATAAAATATTAGTTCATATTATATATAGCTTAAGGACTAAGCTAAGGAATTTTTCAACAACTTGGGTAACGATATCGAAGTTCTCATACGAACCCCTTATTTCCCTTATTCCTTATCAGCATCATGGATAATGTAAGATTTTAATGTTAAAGCAATTTTTCAAATGGAACAAACAAACTGTTAAATCCCTGTAACATTAGTGTATATACATGTTATATATATAACGCATTTACTTTCATTATCTACCTATGATAAACATGCCATATTTTAGTGGAAATTTGTTTTTATGGCCAGACGCGTTAGTACTTAAAAATCACGTTTCAATCACGAGAGTTTCAATACTATGTATTATCTTAATCCAGATTTAACTAACTGATAATGGACTGCAACCTGGTGTTACATCCGTTTCTGACGCAATTCAGAATGTTACTTTCCAGTAAAGAACTTCGCCAAAATCATAACGAAAATGACTACATATTTTAATGACTTATATATGTTATATCGTTATTCTCAGTTCTTCTCAGCCAAAAGCAATACGAATGGACAGTAGATTTGACATATATATATATATAGACATAATAATCTGTAATACACCTACACGACTAAAGATATTTTGATTGTAGATTTGATTTGATATAATTAACAAATACATAGAACACGTAAAAATATAGACAAAACTAAAACTTTTTGACTCTGTAAAAAAGTTAAAAAAAAAGTATTGAGGGCTCACCAGATGAGTACAGAAGTCAGTCATTTGTATTATTATCTCAATACAGATGTCAAACATTCGACGTACAGATACACACATCTGGTGGCCACCATCTGGTATCCAAACGGGGGTGTGACGTCACGGGCTTGACATGTGGCTGCAGCGGATAGCTCTTTTGGCGATTGTTTGTTTTTTCATTCAGTGAGTTTAGTGCTCATTGTAATCTTAATATATAAAAAATTCATTCGTAAGCGATGAAATCCTTTAGAGTTTTACTACTGAAGCTATTTTGCATGTGGCTGCAGCGGATAGCTCTTTTGGCGATTGTTTGTTTTTTCATTCAGTGAGTTTAGTGCTCATTGTAATCTTAATATATAAAAAATTCGTGTCACTCTGTTCGTACACGGTGAAATCCTAAACTACTGAAGCGATTTTGGTGAAATTTTGTAAGTAGAGTCGGTTATGAAAATAAGTTGTTATCTATTTTTTATACCCCTAAATAATAGTGGTGGCCCTCCCAAAAAGAATATCCTTTTTTTTGTGCGTTTTCTTTATTATTCTAAATTTAAATTTTTTATAAATTTTCTAATGATGAAAGTACCAATAACAAACCTATTATTAATTATAATACCTAACGTACAATACCTATACAACACGTCAAATGTTGCGTTCTTCATTTCTTTTATTGTTTAAACAGTTTTTTTTATTTTTATGATTCTGTAATAATATAACCGTACATTATTACACTTATACCAGCAACCCCTATTTTCTAATGACAATATCAATTTATATGGCAACACAACGTTTGCTAGTATTGGTTATATATATAATTATTATTTTTAATGATATATATCAATAAATGCAATTGCTAATCCAACACAATTGATTGTGCAGTTAAAGCGTTAAAAAGAAAAAAAACAAACAAACTTTCGCATTTATAATAATTAGGATTCACCTAAACCGCCAATAAATAATCTGAAACCGTTTAACTAATTGGGTTCAATAACAAAATGAGATACGGAGATTAATACCAGTCACGCATTGCAACAAAAAGTTCACATACACCACCCAGCCCATTCAAATCTGGCGACCCATACTGTGACATGTGAACAAACAAACAAATCTCCTAAAATAATACAACACATACTAAACTTTAATTCTTAGCAGATAAAAGTCATTTTTGAATTGTCAAATAGTAGTATTGATATTGTTAAGTTATTCACTTGTTCGCAAGGGTCTCCCCTTGCAACATGTGCGGGGTTACAGTTGTTTTTTTGTGACCCCTTTTGTTTTGGTGGACGACTATTGTAATTATTAGATATAGATGGAATTCCGTTATTTTGGGAATCATAATTTAGTTCATTAAAATATTTGTTATTTTAACTATTAAATAATCTGCCAATTTTATTTAGACGATTAATTTATTATTACGATATAATCTATAATTAAAGTATAAATTTTATTAATAGTTAAGTTACATTTTATTTAATTTTTATTTAATTTTTAAAGTCATATGCATATTCAAATGCTATATAATACTAGTTGATTGATATATTTTTTTGAAATTCAAAATTATTTTAAAAACACTAGAATCTAGAATAAAAATCTTCTATTTTTGAGAAATTCAAAATTCAAATCTAGAATCAAAATCTTCTTAAAATTTTTGCATGCGAAGGAATCACACTATACTGTCTAATTTATTTGGAATGTAATTAGAGGTTAACATACTATAAACAATAAGATTATAAATTTAACCGAATGGTTTACTGTATCTTTCAATTTCATAAGTAAGTATGTAGGATATTAGAGTTTCCGCACAAACATAAGAATCTAAATAGCATGTTGATGTCTGAACTAATATAGTTAGCTAGGTATTCCCCTTGTTTTGAAATGTAAGTAGATATGTACTTATTAAAATACAAGTTAGTGCAGAATAACTTTCATAGTAATAGAAGGAGTAAAATGATTTGATATATTCTAGTTATATTTGAATGATAATGGAAATGTGCAGATTTTTGCCGTATATGCCGGTATTCCTGGTGAATTTTCTCATCTTATCATATTCCACTGGTACTTTGACAGCGTACACTGTTAGCCTAGGCGGGTGCACCATACCTTAATCATCTATTTAAAAAACCCCTTCCTCCTTTATCTATGGTTATTGAAACGGTTATATAACAGATAACTAAGTCCGCAAAAATTAAAACTACTGACGCTTATAGAACGGCACAATACATTTAAATACATTTGTTACGTATTTACTCGCTTCCTGTCTAAGTTCTGCGCGATTCTCAATTCGCAGTAGTTAGTTTGTCAGCGTGTTTAATTTACGAATAAAGGTACTCATATTATTAGTGGACTTAGATTTTTTTTTATTGGGTTGTTTGGGCTATAGTTAGACGAACTTAGGACTTTAACAGGACTTAGATAACAATAACGTAATACAAGACATTAATTTACAAGTGAAAAATATGATAGGCGTTTTTTATGTATATGTACAATATAACATGTCTTTGGACTAATTTATTATTTAAAATGTTTTGTAAATGCTAATAGAATGGAATAAATATAATATTTATAAAAATCGGCAACTACTTACGTAAATATCGCAAAAATATGTCTCAAGAGACAAAAAAAGAAAACAATATCGTGGATAAATTTCCAATCATATCACATGAGTCGCATCTCTAAGGACGAGACAAATGATATTGTTGATGTACATGCGTAGGTATGGATGTAAATCGATTATTGATTATCGATAATCATTTAACTAATCTCTCTTAATAATATTATAAACGCGGAAGTTTGTGAGTGTGGATGGATGGATGTTTGTTACTATTTCACGCAAAAACTACTGAACGGATTTTAATGCAACTTTATAATAATATAGCTTATACATCAGTATAAGACAGGATATAAATTTCGCGTAGATGAAGCCGTAGGGTCAGATAGTAATCTGTAAATGTAATAATCTGATATTGTAATGAAAATACGTAAATCACAATGATATATACATATTTTAATAAATGACGTTATTATTTACCTACCTTATTTATTCACAATACTCAAATGAAATTATTGCTAAAACGACAGTGCATTTGACTGCAATAAAAGGTTTACAGATTTTCAATTTTAGAATATTCGATTCCATTATCGATGAATATGAAAGTACATTTTCATTTAATGAGATTGTAACCCCAGAAAGCGAAGCTTGTTTTTAGATACATAAAAAAATGTATAAACGGATTTATTTATAAATATTTAAAATAAAGTTCCATGAATTAGACACATTTTGGAATTAAATAGGTAGAAAAAAATTAATTTAAAACAATTACCTACCTTTAACTTCAGGTTGAGTATCGGAAGCGGAAATGAAAGATGACATCTTCGCAATCCTTCGTCACTTCAAAATCCAAAATTCGAACAATAATGTTATGGGAACCAATTTATGAACACTAGAGGCGATTATTAGCACGATATAAGACACAGTTTTTGTTATGAAACTTGTATAATTTTTATTAAAAACTCAATTGTCATTGTATAGAGTTACGATCGGAGTATCGACTGCATCGCGCGCGCATCCACACGCACATGATTTCACTACGGAACGTTCCGTTCAACTGACGACGAGCAGTATTATGAGGTTAGGTTTGGCTTGTAGTTCAGCCAGGGTAAAAAAGCACGGCGCCAGCCCAGTCTCGCCCTTAGAGATGCGACTCATGTGATATGATTGGAATTTTATCGTGGATATTGTTTTCATTTTTTGTCTCATGAAACATATCTTTGCAATATTTACCTAAGTAGTGACCGATGTCTATAAATATTATATTTATACCATTCTATTGGTATTTACAGAAGTTTTTAAATAGTACATTCGTCCTAGGATATGTTATGTTTGGGATTTTTTTGATCAAATCGTGTACTGACATTTGGTGTACTGTTTAAAAGTATTTAGAGAATGAAATTTGTGCCTATACCTATATATTCTCGCATATTACTATTTAAAATATTATTATACAAATATATTTATATATAATATATACATATATATTATTATATTTGTATTTTATTATAATGTATAAATACAATTTTAATATACTTTAAATGGTGAATATATCACAGAATAGAGATCTAACAAAGTCAGTGCCAGTTCTAAAAATTCTAACTATTATCTAAATGTAATAAATTCCAATTACTATGTTTAACAATCTTATAATTCACGTGAAAAAAGTAATATAGAAGTCTAAGACATTTCGAGACATTTTGTGCATTCAGTTGTGATTTTATTTTTTTGTTAGTTGCAAGCGTACCTGCTAGTGATAAGAGAGATGCTATCCTCAGGCAATAAAATATGCTAGACAATAGACGATATAGGTAATATAAACTGTGACATCATTAATGTTGTGCATGTATATATTTTGCGTTATCAAATTTTATCATATCCCATCTGTACATGTTAAACAAAAACGTAAATGCTGTCTATATCTGAAAGATATATGAGAAATACTGATATTAGGTACGGGGCTATATCATTAATTCATATATATATATATTATTTCTATACTCGTAGATCCTAAAACTTTTAATGTATATATGGTCTATACGTGAGAACGGCTTAATTGATTTGAGTGCGGTATTCTCTACTGTTTTGTGGTAAACTTCACCTAAAATATTGTGTGTTATTCCAATTGGTTTACAAACCTAAAATGTTCTATGGGCACAAAGTCGCAGACTCGACTAGGTAATTATGCTTTTTCGTAATTGAAATGACAAACAAAATAACGTTATCATGACTCTATACTACACATGTATTGTCATTCCTGAGACCTAAGATGTCCTGCCTCTTAACCTATAATTTTACTGCCATATATCCCGCCATTATTGTAAGGGAGTTCTTTATTCGTAATATATAAAGTAGCTATGTATTACCTAGTTTAATATGATCTGATACATCCTCCAGGATGGGGATTGTTAGTAATGTGGACTAATACCGTTTGCTTGTAATGTATCACGTCAGTTTGACCTACACGCGGTTCGCCCTGGAATGAACTTGGGCTAACTGACCTGACTTTATACTCATATAATTATTTTTCACTGGTGCTCTATCAGCGTAAACCATTAGCGCAAGCGGGTACATCATTCCATCATCATCATAGCTTGAAATCTCTAATACTATTTAAAATACTTAAAAAACAATCGATTATCGATACGTCGCAGCACTAGCGCGCCAGCCGGTCGCATTCTCTGGCCGTCGGCGGCGACTTGTCGTGAGGATGGTCACAACGGCGCACTATACGCCACTGTATCTCGACATTTGTTCCAACTTACAGGCTATTTCCAAATGCACATGTGCGCATCCGTGACTCACGCACGCATACGCATTATACGTTAATTTACGAACACTTTATTCGCATCGAGCAACACAACTGCATTTATAGAGACGTCTAAATTAGAGTTGAATAATTGATATAAATGCACTCTCTTATATGCTATTTAATAGTCGCCTATTGCATCCCAAATAGAAAAAAAATCGAATATATACTTTTACACGGCTTTAGAACACGATACGTATAAAATACATATATTATAATAATAAGAATATTTGTTTTCGTACAATTACATGACTTTATAGGCCGTTACATCTGTGCTCGAGAAACGGCGTGTTACAGATGTTATTTCCTTCCACAATGGTTGGTATACAAATACTCAATATTTATGTTACTTTGTAATATTTCAAGTAAAATTTTGAATCATACTCCTTACTATAATAGATGTATAGAACAATGCTGCAAACCACACCAATGCATCTCTTCATAAAAGAGAGGTTTTTTCAGCATAATTTCAGTAATTTAATGTATTTTGGAGAAAAAGAACTTCCTAAGCTTACAATGTAGAGTCAAAACTAGCGACAAAGTATTAAATTTGAGTAAAATGTTCTCAATGTGATTTGATGGAAAAGACTTGTGGTATTACAAGAATAAGAATGTTGTGTTTATAGCACTTGTATGGAGAGATTAGAGATGTAGAAACTGCTTACAAACTATCTATGGAAAGAATAGAGATCGAAATTTATTTTTTATAAATAGTTAAAAAATGCACTGCGTCTAACAGCGTGCAAAAAATAAACAATTGCAGTGTTAATAACAACAAAATGTAAAAAAATATCAATTTTGTATTAAATTCAGCCTTAAAAATTGTTTTAATGGTGATGATGATGTACAGACAGATTATAAGTATTTAGTACTTGAAGTTATATTTCCGCCCATTGACATACAATAGTTATGCTAGGAAGCATTCTGTAATCTCTAATTTCTCAGTATCAAATCTGTAATATAATAAACTACTATCATAGTCGATTCCGTACTTCAAGATATCTAAATTATTTTTAATTGGTTGATAATTAGATTACTTTGATTGATAATAGCTGAATTACAACGTCTGCATGATAAAAATCTATAAGCAATAAAAGCGCTATTAAATATTCTTAACATGTATATAAAGTAATTATCTGATATGATACGTATTTAGACCAATTTCCAACTAAATAATATTTGAAATTATTAAATTCTCAGGACATTGAACAAAAAACGTAAATTCGTTGAACATTTTATTTACTTTTTAAGTTGACTTGATAACGTTGATATATCAAGTTATAATTAATATAATAATATCACATTAACAATTTTATACAATCAATCAGCAATAATTCTAGCAAATTATAGACAAAGTATTATTTACTTTTTCTATGTTGCAAACCAATTAGTATGTTATAGTAGATAAGTTTGAAGGAATAGGAATTCCATATTTATTATTGAATGCTGTTTTAGGAAGTGTGTTTAAATTTTTCTACATTTCTGTTTTTATTCTGAGTTCTCTGGTGTCGATGGCGCGGCATCCTCTTTATCATTTCTTAACGCGTCCAGATTTGGCAATGCCGATACAAAATCCTGTTCAGTCGACTTTTTGTGCGGACATTTCCTCAGTTTCGGGGAACCAGTCGCAAAACAACCAATTTTTGCCTCCAGCCATTTATACTGGTTTTGTCATGATTTTTATGCTCGCAAACTGCGGTTACTGCATTAATTCAAGTCATAACTGAATTGATAATCATATAAACGGTTTAGTGGCATCCTCGACGGTCAAATTTGTGAGGTTCAAATTAATTTTCATTACGTTTTTTAATTATTATTAATAACATCTATAAAATTGCATCAGGTTTTTCCAAGAGACGACGTTAACCTGTGAGTTCCAAAACGTGGAATTGGGTATTTGAACAATAATTTGAGTAGCGGCCTCAGGATTGAGGTGTGAAAGGATAATTCCTGAATAAACAAAATGACTGTAAGATTGTAAATAAATGGATGGATAACCTTGCCATGTGTAGGTGTCAAGCGGTCAGGTAAAGCTTTTGACACCTAACCATGACCGCGAAGAAATAGCGTGAATATCGCCGCTTTTTGTTTAACGTCCATAGTTTTTTTGACTATTTGACGAGGCTTTCGACCAACTCGTGTTTACAGAGAATGATACTGAATGAAATGTAAAAATATTGTATTTATTTGTTCCATGAATAATATCGAGAGACGTGTCTTTGTAATAATTACGCTCACTATTACATATAATCTTATTAAAATTAAGTTTTGTTGCTGAAGCCAACTTTTTATGTAGCTTTACATTATGTTTTGACAAGCCACTTTTTTTAAATATTGGTTATTATTTTAATTTGCTTTATGTGTTACTGAACGCAAACTATGATATAAAAACCTGAACATGTTTCAATACTAACTTTTATATGGTTCATCTTTACAAAAATGTTATTTGAGAACGTTTGATGAATTTCAATAAAATTTGCAACACAGATAATATTCTATGTACTTTAATAAGTAACACTAACAGTTGCAATAGTATGATGTTATTTATAGGTAACATATATTTTAAGTATAAACAACTATTACAATGTAATAACATTAATAATGTTATTATTTGAGTATCTCCTAACATTAATAATAATTAATGTTAGGAGATACTCAAATAATAATTTAATTGTAAATTTTTTTTATATTACCGATACTACTAAAGAATGTGTGAATGTAGCAGTTTTTTGCGACGCACTTAGAAGCGAGGATACTTATGTCGCAGACTATTTAGATTTACTGGCTCATAAAATTTCAAGCATGAGCTGACCACCTGGCCGGAGTGTGAGTGCTTCCAAATATAAACGCGTTCTCTTTAACCAAATCGCATTCACGTGTTTAAACAAGTGACAAATAGGCACATTTAACATCTATTATACGGATTAAAGTTATAATATTTTTCGTGGAAAAGTTGTATCATTGTGATTATATAACGTATTAACACAAAGGTAAGCGAAAAACATAAGAGTGATTCCTTAAAAATCGCTTTCTTTCTCTGCGTTTGGAATTTAAAATCAAAGCACAAACACTGTATTTACTTCAAAATAACTAAAACAGATCTTAAAATTTGTACATTATGGTATATTATTGAATGGATACATAAATTACAGCTGATGCATTCCTTCGTTATTGAATTGTGAGTCATAGTTCAATACGAATAAGATTGAATTTTGTGCATAGATAGACACATGTATGTGGCAG